TATCTATCTATCTATCTACATACAGTCAGTTCTTATATTATTAGTATTACATAACAGCATAATGAGGATTATTTTACTCTTCATATATATCTGCTCTTCAGATATAATAAATTCTATTAATTCTATTTGGTAAATTAGCTTTCTAAATCTCTCCCATCTTTCCTAAAAATAAAATACATCGAATATATTAAGGTTGTTCATAAAAGGAAATTCAGTTATGCAGAGTAAAAAGTGCGATCAATTCAATTTATTCTTACTTTTTGCATGTATTTTTTCTTTACTGATATTTATTTATTCATTTAATGTATAATGCAAGTATTATACGTTTTCTATTATTACAGAATAATAATTGTACAATTGGTCCCTATAGGAATTTTCTGACGCCCTTGTTCTGTTCGACATAAGTCTAATAAAGTTAGGGGAAATAGAAAGAGTTTAAAGAATTGAAATAAACTTGCTTTCTCTAAAACGGATTAAACATGCAAATTCAATATTTTTTGTAATAATATCAGTTTTATTTACATGATTTTCCAGTGCATAGCTAGACACAAGAGCATAAAAGCTAAAACTTAATTACAATTTCCATGTATCATAATGACAATACATGTAATCTAAAAACACATCTTTGTCGCTCAAATATCCTCCTAAAATGTGCAAAACCTTCTAAATTTCATTTTCACACTTCATGTACTGACAATGCTATGCACAATAAAATCTTATTTCACAGAACATGACACAAACTTGTTTCTATTTAAAGGAGAATAAATCCCAAGAAAAAATAAAATGTCATCTCTAACATTTACACCAGGTAAAAGCCAGAAAGCAGCACAAGGTGGTTGCCAGAGTGGGTGCCAAGATTAGCTCATTTCCTGTTTTTATTGTACATTATTAATACCATCTCATCGCATAAAAATAGTTTACATTAACTACATTTTCATAATACGTTCTCAAACATTAAAATGGAAGAAATAAGCAATAACAATTTTAAAAACTATGATAAATATGCAGCTAATGACAGGACAGCTGACTGTTCTGTTGCCACTTGTCATATTTACACAACACACTCTCTGGCTCAGAAAGAAACAGGGCGGTGCCATGAAAGAAAAATCACTGTCAAGGAGTGCAATGGTTTTAAAGTATTTGGGAGCAACTGATCAGGACTATGATTCTTTGCAGGCTCAATATCGAAGACATCATGACTGCTTTGGAATGTTTTAAGGGTATCAGTTTTTCTTAAAATACAGAATTTAATATCTATAGCGTATATATATGTACAAATAAATACAGACAGTGCACTAGCCGTCATTTACAGCACCATTCCCCACAAATTCAGGTCCTTGGTACACTAATCCTCACTGGATGACAACCAACAGTCTTATCTTGAAAGTGCTTATCAGACGAGTGAACATACAAACATTTCTCTCATTAATACATCGGCGTACCTTGACTGACCACATATATGCAGCAAGACCATAAATAACCTGAGATCTCAACCCAGTTCCATAATAAGAATAAGAGGGGTAGATTTGGTTTTTTGCTCACAAGGGTCAACTTCATTCAACAGTAAAATGATCAAATATAGTCCAACTTTTTAACTTGTATTTAAAGACATGATCAAAGGTCTGGCAAGTCAGCTATTATTACTACAGGTAATTATTAAACAGCTGCCTGATGCCATCCCAGGCCAGTCACTACAATAAGGCACCATACCCTTAAGATCCTCTTTCCAAAGCTTTAAAGCCTAATCTTCTCTTCCTTTAAAGGTATTAAATCCCCTTTAATTCTTAAACTTCCACGCCATCAGCAGTGCACAGGCGCCCACTCCTGCGGCGGTCAGAATGTACTTTGTATTAGCTGGCAGGGCGCGAGAGGGAGTCTTCTCCTCTGTAATATCAGCTGGTGCAGGCTCGGAGGGGTGACAGGTCTCACTGGAGGGGGTGTTTACACTTGATACAGCATCAGCTCCGTCTGTGGATAGTGGCGGTGCAGAGGTGATCTCTTTGGCAGCTTCGCCATTGATGCTTTGAGCTGGTGCGCCTGGGTTTTGGCCCTCTAGGTTGAGGATAGACGGCTCCTCGGATATTTGCACCACGTTCACCCGAACCTCCTGCATATCTAAACTCGGACACGGAGACTCGTAGTGGTTTTCCTCCGGTTCGTTATGGTTAAGGGCGATGCCGTTCTCCTGGCATGGCAGCCCAGTGTCTGTATCCACGGCGTCGGAGATGACAGCAGAGCATGCAGGGACGTGGGTAGAGGTCACAGCAGCTTCGCTCATTTCCAAACGCTCGCTGTCACCCGAGTATGGCGCCTCCGGGGAGTCGGGTGCAGGGATAGTAGAGCTGCTGTCATTTTGTGGCTGGATGCTGATGAGAACGCCAGGTTTGCTCATACAGACATTGCTGTCATCAAGGAGAGAGGCGTCCATCTCAGCAGCAGGAAGAATCGGGGAGGTTGTAGCCGCAGTTTCTGTCTGCGGGCTGCTTTCAAGAACCTGCAGGTGAAATTGATAATAGATGTTAAGATGACTGACTACTACTATTACTGTAAGATCCCTTTCTGGGAACATTGTAAGCGTCACAGGGGTATGAATTATTGCATAGCTGCTGTATCGAATTCCACACATTTGTACAGGTGTTACCTAAAAACTGGCATTTTCTACCCCAAAATGTTAAAAATGAAAAAAAAGTTGCACTTACATTTTGACATAGTAATATATGTAACTCATTACTAATGGGTTTCATTACAGGTAAACTAAAAAAGTAGCCCGGCAGAACCTCAACAAAGACGAAAAATTTCTCTGGATGCAATTGGACAGATTGCAATCAGAGCAATGAAACCTGTGATGTAGCGCTAAGGGACACATGCGAATGCTTGGTCCGTTTATAAGCAGGAAATAAATGGCGGCCTGGTCAAAAACGTTTTCAAATTACAGCTACACAGTACAGTGTTGCTCTGAATGGAGCTACAGACTGGACGCTCCTCTGTCGGTCAAAACGGTTGTGATTGGGCCGACCAGACGGAAGGGTGATCAGACACATCTGCCAGAGCTAATGAAACATCATGAGCTCTGCAGATTAGTCTGGTTCCCAGGCTACTTAAAAACTGAACGTAAACAGAACTTTGCTTCAATATTATTAACAAAACAGGCATTTTTTGATGTACCTTGGTACAGTTTGGTGGTGTATTTAGTTTGTATGTGAACATGTGATGTCACTTTTTCAGGTTTATAACAGAAAAGTATATTTCAGAGGAGAACAAAACACCAATTATAGCACCTAAAGGAGCCTCTACAAGACTTGTGCTTTGAATGTGTCGGTCATTAAGGGAAATGTAGGAAATCAATCAAAGAAGAAACTTAACAAAATCCTACAAATTAGTTTTTCTACCTGAGTAATGGGAGGTTCAGAAGTCTCTTCAGGCTGCAGGACAGCAGCAGCAGGTTTTATGTCCACAGGAGGGGTGGTGTCCTGGACTGGAGGCTTCTCTGGGGTCAACGTGGCGAAAGAGGATCCATCGGTCACGTCTGAGTCTATCTGAGTCGGAGAGGGACTCCGTGGGGGCCCAGCCTCTGTGGTGGTGGTTGTTTGGAGAGAATCTGTTTCACACTCCTCAACAGGATGGGACGGTGGAGGAGTGTCCACAGAGTTGATCGACACCTCGCCGTCTTCTGCGCTCACCTGATCAGGGATCACGCCATTCTCACCAGAGATATCCTGGATGTCTAATTCAGAGTTTTCCACCGGCTCCTGGTGAGACTGAATCTCCCTCTGAGGCGGCGGGGTGGCAGTCGGCGGAGTGCGTGGGGGTTCAGGCGAAGGAGGAGGTGTCGATGGAGCAGGTGCCGCTTCAATTTGAGCTGACTGTGGAGGCTCGGCGACAAGCTCGGGTGGGGCAACAGCCTCAGGAACTTGAGCTGCTGGGGGGGCTTGTGGCTGCACAGGGATTTCCACAGGAGGTGAAGGCTGGGCAGCTGGCTCTGGGGAAGCTGATGCTTCAGTTGGCGGAGCAACATCAACCTGACTGTTTCCACCACTCTCCGGGATGGACAGTTGACTGGCAGATGGTGCCGGGTGGACGTGTGCCCTTATGACAGTTGTCGGAGGGGAGCTGGGGTTGGAATCTAGGGCAAAGCAAACAATGTTGTCATTTCAATCTGCTTTGAATGCATATGACTAAAGCTCCTGAAGGACTAGCTGACCCTGAAACCATACAGTCATTTATCATTTACTGACGTTCACAGGACCAGCAAAACATACTATTACTCCCTGCAGCAGCTTGTGTTTGATATGATTTTGATCTTTAATAAACATACTAATGGAACACATTATATAAAATTGATATTAGGCATACACTGACATTTAAGAGACTAGTAAAGAAAGCTTGTTGCTAGCCAAAGATGCAACCTACAGACAACATAAGTGATCCTTTCCAATCTGCACCTGCATGTTGAGCTTTTATCCCCAGCGAGATGTTATTGACATTAAGAGCCATTGAAAAATGTGTACAGCAAGTCTCTTTATTTGCCTTTCCTTGTTGTTTGTCTCCAACAATCCTAAGGCTGCATTCACACCAAATCAGGAGTTGAAAAAACATAAAGTTCACAACACGATGTGACACAAATGGGACACGCAATAACACTCCCACAGCACAACAACCCTGCGATAATCGCTGTAACGCCTGATTTGGTGTGAATACAAACTTACTGAGAACATTAGCATGTGAAATACTTAAAACAAACATTGCTGTGATTACTTGTTTGTCAGGGCTATCCTCTTAGTATTATGTGTGTTACTTACTCACAAGTATCCAGAGGAGATACAGTATATCTAATCCTGACAATTTATAAGTGTAGGATTATGGAATTGGAAGCTTCATGCTCAGGTTAAGAAGATCATCGCTCTCCCACACATCAGCTTTGAGTTATCTCTGAAGGTCAGACAGTGAGAAGACGCTTGTTTTTCTTCAACTGTAATAATAAGCTTATGAAGCTCTGAACGACACAGATACACTCGCTCGCCTGTGAACTGCATGTGTGAACGCAGATGACCATATACCTCGGGCACTGAGCTCAGGTCTGCGCCAAAAATAGACTGCATTGTGCAATTTTGTGCCTAGTCAAGTATACGGTGCTCCAGTGTTCACACACTCAACCGGAAAGTAGAGTATGTGGGATTATAATGGAAATATGGGAGCTTTAGATGTGCACAGATTCAGTTTTTTGTGGCTGTATCAATGTAGGTCCTGTTCAACACGGCTAAACTGAAACCGTGATGGCTAACACTCCAACAAACTTCAGTAAAGAAGTGGTTGCTGACTTACTGTTAGTGCCTTTCAGAGCGTTGTATTCTGCTCTAATCTCCGCTGCCAAAGTTGTAAACTCGAGCTCCTCGAGTGCTCTGATGAACTGCTCCGGCCAGCTCTCTCTTCTCTTCAGACAGTCCAGAAGAAGCACCATGCTGTCATAGTTCCCACAAGTCTCTCTTTTTGCCTCAATGGTTTCCTAAAATCAGATTACAGAACATCCATTGACATCCAAATGTAAGTTCATAGACAACATTTAACATTTGAGGGTTTTGGTTTAAGGTAAGTAAAGGCATCAGAGAAAGTATATCTGTATTAAAACGGCATTTGTATTGGTACTAGTATTTAAAAATGATCCAAACATTCCTCAGCTAAAGGTCATTATACCTAATTAAAACCTACCCTGTCGTGATCAGTCAGGCAGGGCAGATGGGTCACTATTTCTCTCACTTTCACCTGGCTCACAATGGTCGGCATATTCCGCCGCATGTATCCTTTGTACAGTTTGTCATTGGCATACGACATCTGTGAAATGAGAAAGTGAGACAAAAAGCATGCAGTAAAGACTTTGTGTGGTGTACTTTTGCAAAGGGGTACTTTAATAGTTAATACACACTCCTACATTTTAGTAACCGCCTTAGTTGGCTAGCCTCTCTGGCCACATTCCTTACGTCTAAGCTTCCCTTTTACTACATGAGAGATGAAAAGTACCCAGAAGCACAATAAGTAACCCTGATCTTTGCTGTCGGCAGTGATCACAGACACTCTTAGTGGGATTTTTTACTCAATGAAACCGAAAGTGAAAGTGAAGACAAGCCCGTCTGCAGCTGAAGGAAAAAGGTTTAAGACAAAAGTTGACATGTTTTCCCTTTTGTTTCAGTTTAGGAGAAAACATTTTGAAAAGGAAGTGAGTCTCTGAACAGCCGCAACCCTTGTTTTACCTTCAAAGGGAGGACAACACTCCTTCATTTCAAGGTTGCAGCTGTCTGGAGCAAGAAGAAAGTGAACGCGTCCTGACTAGTCACTGATTAATCACCTCCAGACTCCAGATTAATATCTGAACTTTAAATGTGAAGTCTCAAACAAAACAAAACACACCCACACATTCCTGATGACTTCTCAGGGTCAAATCAAACATTTGGGCACACTTTTTTTCTGTACTGAATACACCTGAAACCTCCACTTTGTTTGTCGCCAAACAGTAAAACTGAAGTAATCTGTTGTCAGGTTCAGTCAGGGGGAACGTTTTCACCGGATAATGTGTCATCAAAGCGGAGCAGTACGTTAAAGTTTAGTGTAAACGTGGGATGGCAGCTGTCTGGCCTGCGTCTAATAATGGAACAAATGTCAGAGGCAGCAAACTAAAGAGCAAAGTCTTCTTCACTGTATCATTACCCCCCCTTTAGAGGCCATGGTTTACCTGACACACACACACACACACAGACTGTCAGGTAGATATACTGCGCAGTGTTCAAGCCTTCAGAAGAATGTGGGAAGTTTCTATGAGTGGGTATTATATTCAGGCATTTAAAGTGTAAAGTGATGAGAGATTAACAAGACAAGGAAGGTGGTGTTAGGAGAGGGGGGGGGGTAAAGCACCTTGAAACAAGGGCGAATAAGTGCAGAAGTGCAGCCAAATGAATGACCTCTAAACTGGCAGGTTGTGACTGTCCTTTTCTTTACAGTCTCCTTGGCTTTCCAAGACTCTCTGGATCTCATATTTCATGCATGTCAGATCTGTCTCACCCTCCTTTATTTTAAGAGTGAAGAGACATTTCACAGGTTCACATGTTGGCAGGGAAATAACTTATCAAGCCAGTTTAACGACTGCATAAAGAGGGTTGGATAGACTTTAAAAGACAAGGAGAGGATCATATCTGCCTGTATATTATCTAAATATATAGTGGAAATGTACTTTTCAGGCCTGTTTTTGGGTGAAACAACTGAGCAAGGAGATTCAAACAAACGACAGAGGCTTAAACCTGCCTGTAAACAACTCAAATATGCTGTAAAAAATAACTTATTAATGATAAATTGTGTAAACTACTTTAAATTGGAAAGACACGACACAACCTAGCTCATGTCACTGCAGTTTCCTGTGTTTGTAGGCTGTAAACCGAGTAAAACACTGACTTAAACAGCGATTATACGTAACTACACACTCAACTGAATCGTTATTATACTCACATTATATCATACAACTTTAATCTGGTGCTCACCTTTCCTGTTTTCAGCTCTTCGTGCCTCCGTCTCGGGTGTTTCTCTCTCACTGTTACAACCTGCGCTGTCCTCTTCACGCACATCTGCGCAGCGGTTCGTCCCCGTTCCGCGTTCCCATTGGACGACGGTGACGTCAATCGAAGGCTGGGCCAATAGGAATGCGCTGTGGCCCCAGAGGAGGCGGGACGTGTTTAAAGCTTAACCCCGACTGTGACATTTCCTCTGCTGTGATGGGATGACAGCAGAATTAGATTGGATCTCGATTTCTGGTTTACATCTGCCTCTAATCCCTGATCCTAATCCGTTCACATGGATACAGAGAGAGAGAGAGAGAGAGAGAGAGAGAGGACTGGTATAGAAAATATAGGACCATATAACCACAAACATGACCATTAAAGTCATATTTTTAATAGAAACAAAGCTGGTATTCAACAACAGGCAACCCAGGAGCATTGATGCAGAGTTTGTGGACTGTATCCAAGTGCAGTTACTGACTTCTAGTTACTTTATTACATATTAAGATTTCACATGCATATAATACTGTATATATGAATATTTATATACAGTAGGCCTTTATACTGTAAAGCAGTAAAAACTTAGCTCCCCCTTGACACACAGCAGTAAAATGCCACTTACACATTAATGGATCCATACTAATAATCCAGCATTATAATATTTTATTATGTTTCTGCAATGAGTACTTTTACTGTTCATACATTAAGTACATTTTGCTCCTTTTATGTACATACGTTAACTTAAGCAGGGCTGTGAATACTTTATTGTGTAACAATTTATAATGCTCTCACTTTCTCTTTTATATAGGGTCTTATGCACTTTCTTTTTATTTCTACAGAAGTATATGTTTTATAGATGTATGTGTCTTTCTTGTGTGTCTTTTTAAACTTGACTTGACTCTCTGAGCAAACAACCGCACAAGAGTTCCTATGGCAAAATCGCAAAGTTCTTGAATCTTGAATCTTGAATCTTGAATCCTGGCTGCTTTTATTTCAGATGTTTTAGCAGTTAGTTACACTGATTTCTGGAGTGTGACAGTTGTAATATGTGACCGCATGGCCACCACAAGCCACCACAAAAAACTCTCATATACAAAACGATAACAGTAATTGGAATGATGAAGGAAAAGGTAAGCTCTGCAAATCCAATAATAAAGGTAATGAAAAATACACACTCTCCAAAGCAGGAGTTACACTTAAATCTAAATGATGTCCGGAAACAACCAGGCAGACTTTGAAAGATTAGAGAACATATCCAACAACAACAACTCTTTTTTGATGGAGAAAAAACGAAGGAAAAAATAAGATCCAGCTATGTAGTTAATGCAAAATAAACACACTCTCCAACACAGGAGTTATACCTGCCTGGTTGTTCCAGGATATCCTTCAGAATCAGACTTTGAAAGATTAGAGAGCATATCCAACACAGACAAATACAGACTAGAACTCTTTGACTTTGGTGGAGTAATGCAGAGGATGACAAATAGCCACATAGCAGTCAACACATATGATTTGTCTCATAATGACACAGGCGAATAAATTCACCAACAAACACCAAGGCAATGAGGATATGGAATTATAATGCCTCATAGCACATACTGGATAAATGTGAACCGAATGCCTTCAACATGGGAAGAGAGGTGCCTGGAAGACAAGATCTTCCCCTGGACCTGCTGTCAGAGGATGAAAGCTAGGAGTTTGCCACTAGCCAGCCCAGCTTAACGAATTAAAAGGGGAAAATTGCTACAGTCTACAAGGGAAACTCCACACCATCATGCCAGTACACACGAGGACCAACACTGTCACCTGGATTACATTATATCAGCATAAACAATGGCTGGCTGTACAAGTACACTCCCCGTCAAGCCCGAGGTAAGAAACAAACCTACCAATTTACAATCAAAAATCAGACACAGATCTCTACACAACACATCTTACCTATCCAGCCAAATTACTGTGCCAATTCCAACGCTATCTACACTCAGGAACAAGCAAACAAAATGTTTACTGGCAAAATTAAAAAAGGGACCAGGTTCTCCACGGTGCTCCAAATCAACTTTACACGTGTCAACCGGCACCGCACCTCAGATCACATCCTAAACCGAAGGAAAACACCTACAGTCCAGCTTATGTAACCACCAAATAGGATAAATCCAAAATATCAGCTTTTTTACTTTTACCACTTACTTGAACCACATCTTACCAAACAAACCATAAAAAGTACCTGTAACCAAATAACAAAACTACAAAACACACCGATCTTTAAATGTTTTACCTAAATTGCGTAACATAAACAGGAACAAAAATGGCTAAACCAAGCCCCCATTTTGTCATAACCTGGCCCATAGGCCATGACAAAAATTGGAAAGGACATAGCTTTAATGTCATTACAAATTAAGTAATGAATATTTATTATAAAAAATAACCTAAACGCAACTTGAAATATGAGATGTGGTTGTCTGTAGTATCAGTGGTGATCCTGTGAATGAGTGTAAGTGTAAATTGAGGTGCTGTGGAGTAAAAGGGTAAGATAAATGGAGCAAAGCCTGCAGGCTAGTTCAGGCAGTCAACTCGAGCTGCTATGACATGCCTCACTCCATAATCACTAACCAAGCACACCCTTCCAATCTGGCAGTCTATTTAAGCTGCAAAATTTCGCATCAGAACATCTTTTAAAATCATGGTCTGTTGCCTCCATTCTCTCTAAACAGATCTTTTATCTCTGTTAGGTCACCTTAACTTCAGTTCTAAATCCACTGCTCTTCATGAACTTTACCCAGGTGTCATTGCTTGCTTGCTATGGGGCAGCAGATGGTCCAGGAAACAAATTATGGTGTTTTGTGACACTGCTATAGTGGAAATATTCCTGGTCTGTGCATTTATTGTTTTTATTTGAATCCCGTCATCTTCAAATGCAAAGTTTTAAAGCTATGCTAGCAGGAATTCAGTTTTGATGTAAAGATCCAGCATTCCAGAATCTTCTGGGAAGTCCTTCCATTCAGCTGCTCCTCATGGCTTTAAAAGGGGCATCCTCCAGGCAACAATAAAAGACTACCTCTCAAAATTTTACTGGGGCATAAATTGAGGTTTCACTAAGTAGTATATTCCCTCATCCTTGAGGTGCTCATGGGGAATGGCCATTAGGCGGCTGGTGCCTATGCCCACACATAGACGATCCTTCCACTTGTGCCATCAGGCTGCAGTCTGTGTGGTTTTTGGGGGTTTTAAAGTATTTGCTCATCACTCCCCGATATCTCTGTGTAAACATATTTGCAGGGAGTGATGAGGTCAGAGCCTAGATGCCAAAATCTAACTATGCTATACTGTTCTAATAAACATTTCAAACGTGACTTGTCTGACTGAAATGGAGAGAAACCTGCGAGCTAGTTCAGGCAGTCCACTTCCACATTCCATAATCACTAAGCAAGCACACCCTTCCAATCTGGCGGTCTATTTAAGCTGCAAAAATTCTAAACTCTCCCTCTGCTGTGTCACTGTCTTCCCCTTGTTCTTTAGTTCATTTTTACGTGCTGGATGTTCCTTATTGGTTTTTTTTGTGTTTTGTTAGAGTGATTGACGTCAGATGATTTTGTTGTACACTCTCTCTCCTGCCTTTTGGTGTATGAGAGCTGTTTTTCTACTTTGCTCCTAGCTGGATTGTTATAGTGAGTAATCTTGAGTATAGGCACATCCCTGTAAGTTCTAGGCCTCACTGGGTCCTTAGTTAGCTGAAGAAAAGGCTGTTTTTGGGAGCTGAGTGTCAGGGATGCAAGGGATAAACCCGCTGGCGATAGCCTTAGAGGGCTGCGCCTATACACATAGTCTGGAGTTACAGTTTGTAACTAACTTCTCAAATAACGAATGATGTGAATGACGAATGAATGATCACTATGGCTTTCGGAGGTGCAACTTGTTTGCGGTGGTGGTTGTAGAGTTCGGTGTGCTTTGTCCACTAAAGTAGACTGTTCGAGCTGGATAGCTTCTTTCAGCAGCAATAATAATAATAATAATATAATAATAGTGGAAAATCAGTGTACATGCAAATGTAGTCACAGATGTACATGACAAATAAGATTATATAATTTTTAAAGAGTATATTGCTTTAAAAAACAGTTAAATGTCTTTGTAGTTTGTGTTTAGTGGAGTTTTTGCTGCAGCGGTGTGTGCTCCCACAAGATGCATGCAATTCATGGCAAGCAGGCAGAACACAGCACAATACTGGCCGGGCACTCTCTGAGTACCGAAATTCTCAGTGCACATTCTCGTTAGTAAAGGGAATTAGTAAATGTGCATCCTACTAAAGCACAAGATTTAAGTACGCGTGACTTAGGCTGTTTTCATATATAGTCCTTTTTAATTTAGCCAAACCCAGTCCTCTTAAACTGGACAAAAAAGTGGACCAGAAAAGGGTATCAATTATTTTGCGTGCACATTGTCAGTTCATTTTAGTTATCTTCCAGATCAACTTCAGCTCTCGTGGGGCCTCTCTCTTCTCTATCTGTTCATACAATAATGCCTCCAGCTGGATACTCCACTTTTTCTCATTTTATCACTTGTGGTAAAGTACTTTTGATGCAGTTTTTTACTTGCCTGAAATGGAATGTACCGCAGTGGTTTGAATATATATACAGTTGTGCTCATAAGTTTACATACCCTGGCAGAATTTATGATTTCTTGGCCATTTTTCAGAGAATATGAATGATAACACAAAAACTTTTCTTTCACTCATGGTTAGTGGTTGGGTGAAGCCATTTATTATCAAACAACTGTGTTTACTCTTTTTAAATC